CTATGCGTCGAAAGATGGGAGGAGAGTAAGAGTGCAGAAATTGGTTCGAGTACACGCAAATTCTTTACAGGTAAGGCATATTCTGTGTAATTTTTTCTGGTCGTTAAAAAAAGGATTTGTGAATTTTAGCCAAAAACGATCGTTTGCAGGAAGTAGATACCGCTTTTGCTGGCGATATTTGTGCAACTTATGGTTTGGAGTGTTTTTCGGGCGAAACGTTTTGTGACGACAAAGAATACGCCGTTTTCTGCGTAGGCTTTGTATTTTTTATGTTTAAGCGCTCATTCCCCTTCCCCCCGTCCTCCACCCCCTTCCCCTCCCGTCGTTCCCTTCCTGCACAGTGACCAGACATTTTTAGTAAAATTTCTGCATCAAGCTCATGTTTACAGGTAGCCTTGAATCGTCTCTGTCTATTGAGAAGAAGGCAAAGAGCCCGAGATTTGACTGTTTGTTTTTTGCAGGAATCGATGCATATTCCGGAACCAGTTATTTCAATGTCTATTCGGTGCGTGAACAATAAGGACGGTGAGAAGTTTATGAAAGCTCTAAACAGGTTCACGAAAGAAGACCCCACATTTCGTAAGGAATATAATACTGAAGCGAGGGAAACAGTTGTCTCCGGAATGGGTGAACTGCATTTGGTAAGCATTGCATATATACATACGCTTTAGTACCTGTTTATCCTGTTGTAATTTTTAATGATTTTTTTGTTTGGCTATCTTTCCCTCTGAATTCTTTCCACACTTTTTTTTGCAAAAATTCCTTTAATGATTTTATATTTTTGCACTTTAATTTTACTTTCTACAGTTTTTATAGTAACTAGTTATTGCGCCTCATTTTACATGCCTTTTTTGCGAAATTAGGTCCACACCTTCCAGTTCATGCATGGACTGTGGATGATTTATCGCAACACATTTCGTAACAACCTCGTTTCCCCTCTTTCCTAGCCTTGAAATCGGGATGTAGACACCTTTTTTGTTGGAAATACTTGATTTTTGCAATTCTAACTTTTATTATCTTGCAATTCCCATCTTTATTTTTTTTTTTT